GTGTGTGTGCAGGTGTGTGTGTGTGTGTGTGCAGGTGTGTGTGTGTGGTGCCCCTGAACCCGCACAAGGTCCAGAGAAGCTGCCGTGCGTCCTGCTGTGTCGCTCTCCACCTTGTTCCCCTAACTCGGCGTCTCTGGCTGAGCCTGGCGCTCGGTTGGGGCCAGCTAGGCCCAGGGTCCTGTGTCCTCGCTAGCGTGCCCAGCCGTGCTGCTGACGGAGTGTCGGTGCCCACACTCGGTCAAAGCCTGTGAACAGCAAAGCCAGAAGCAGCAATAACACTTGGAGAAGTGAGGCCCTGGGTGAGGTCTCATCCCCGCTCTCCGGTGAGCCGGGACCTGAGCTCCCTCACCCTGACCCCATCTCTGGGGGACCAGCCTTCTCCCAAAGCTCAGACACTCTTGGGCGAAGTTCCAGCAATGGCCCGCAGGTGGCAGGCACGCCGATGGGGACTTCTGCGTGTTCCCGCCTCCCTGATCCCAGGCGCCTTCCAGAGTCCCCACAGCCCCACTCTTCCCCACCAGAGTCAACACTGTGAGGCAGGGTCCCGCGGTGCGGCCCAGGCTAGCCTTGAACTTTTGATCCTCCTGCCTCAGCTTCTTAAGCCTGGGCCACAGTTTCGCTCAGGGAGAGGATGGTGGCTCAGGGAGGCCTGACCCTGCAGATCCTTCAGGGCTCAGCTGCCAAGAGTGCAGTCCTGGACCCTGAGCAAGAGGAGGGCAGGGAGAGAGGATTTGACGTGGAAAACACAAGCTACAGCCTGACTCCGTGTCTCTCTGCTGCTCAGTTTACACACGTGTAAAAGGGGAGAACAAACGCAGCTACTGGCTCACAGACAGGGAAAGACAGCCTGTCAGCTTTCATGACCAGCACACCCGGGGCCTGGTGGGTGGCTCAGTGGTAGAGTGAGGGGCTGGGGTGTGGCTCAGTGGAGAGTGAGGGGCTGGGGTGTGGCTCAGTGGAGAGCCCTGCCTACTCTTATCTGAGCACACACCCCCTGACTGAACCGAGCCTCACAGCTCTGAGTCCACAGTGTGCCCCCTCACTCTCTCCTCAGGACCTCCAGGACAGATGGGACCGCCGGGGCCTGCAGGGCCTCAGGGTTCCAAAGGTGAACGGGGCCAGACAGGAGAGAAGGGCCCGGTGGGACCACCAGGTACGGAGCCCTTGTCCCTGGAGTAGAGAGATTGGCGTTTGCTGTATAGCCGAGCGAGGGTGGCATTCTGTGCCCCCCAGTCTTGTTACCCAGATTCATGACCTCTCTTCTCACCTCCCCCACCCAGTCTCAGGTGCTATGGGAAGAGCTTACAGGATCTTTGGGGGGGGAGCTGCTGAGGTTTGTTCCCAGCACCGGAAATGCCTTTCAGGAATCCCATGATCCCCTGCGTGCTGCAGAGGCCGCCCGGCTCAGGACTGGCCCCCTCGGTTACCCGGCCCTGAGGGCTAAGGCTGGAGCCGATTCCAAATCCTCTCCTCCTGGCTCCATTGTGTCCACCCTCTGCTGTCCCTGTGCCGGAAGAGGAAGCTGCCGGCCAACATGCCAGGAGGACTGTGGGTCCCGAGGCTCACCAGAGTGGACAGTCCCCTCCCGGTCAGGGCCTCAGTTTCCCTGTCTGTAACACCGAGGCCATCAGTCTCACCCAAATCCTCTGTTCTCCGTTCTAGGTCTCACGGGGCCACCGGGGCCACCGGGGCCACGCGGGCTTCCTGGAGAGATGGGACACCCAGGTCCACCAGGCCCTCCCGGCCCAGCAGGCAGCCCTGGCCTCCTGCCCAACATTCCGCAGGGCGTCCTGTATTCCCTGCAAACTCCTGTGGACAAGGAGGGTGAGCGCTTGCCCCGGGAGGGGGAGGGGCGGGCCCACGCTGTCCCCAGGAAATGAGGCCTGGCTGACCCTGCTCTTGGCCTCAGATCATCAGGCCTGACACGCCCTGCCTCTACCTGCAGTCAACTATCCTGGCTGGCAAGGCCACCCCAGCAGAGTCACGGCTGGTGACATTTCCTCACTGTAAGATGTCCAACAGGTGTCACTGAGCACGGATGTGGCAAAGTAGACCCACTGGCTGTGTCAGGGACACAGTGTGGCTCAGGGAGCTGCACAACACAAAAAATCCCTAGTTTGTGAGCATGGGGGTCAGGGACTCTGCGTCTAAGAGAACACTGTGAGGTAGAGAGCCAAGAGGGAGCGACGTTAGCTAAGTTCCCTAACCTTAAGCTTAACCCTAGCCCTAGCCCTAGCCCTAGCCCTAACCCGAACCCGAACCCTAGCCCTAATACAATCCTAACCCTAACACAATCCTAACCCTAGCCCTAACCCTAACCCTAGCCCTAGCCCTAACACAATCCTAACCCTAACCCTAGCCCTAGCCCTAACACAATCCTAACCCTAACCCTAGCCCTAGTCCTAACCCTAACCCTAGCCCTAGCCCTAGCCCTAGCCCTAGCCCTAACCCTAACCCTAACCCTAACCCTAGCCCTAGCCCTAGCCCTAGTCCTAGCCCTAGCCCTAGCCCTAGCCCTAGCCCTGGGGTTATTTTTAAATCTTGGAGGAGTTCAGCATGGTATCTCATTCCTAAACTCTAGCTCTTCACAAGCTGAGGCAGTAGAATTAATGCTCGCTTTGAATCAGTCTAGGATACACAGCAAACTCAAGGCCTGCCTGAGTTGCATGGAGAAACCCTGTCTCAAAAGAAAATAAGTCAAAGTGTATTTTTAAAAAATTAGGCCTGGGGTACATAGATCCATGGTAGAGCCCCTGCCTAGAATCCCCCAGTGAGGGGCTGGGGTGTGGCTCTGTGGTAGAACATGAGGCTTGGAGTTAACTCTCCAATACCACAAAGTAAATAATTATATGGAAGAGAGAAGAGTAAACCCGATGTTTGTTGGGAGGGCATGCCATAGCTTGCATACCGTGGTCAGAGAAAAACTTGTGGGAGTGAGTTAGCCTCCCACCATGCGGGTCCCGGAGCTTGGGCTCGGGTCATGGGCCTCCTGGCTCCTTAACCCTCTGAGCCATCCTGCCATCCCCAAAGTAAACTGTTGAAGAGGCTGACGGTGTAGGGCAGACGCTGTGGACACAGGGTTGGGGAGACCCAGGCCTCAGTTTCCCCAGCAGTAAAGCCTGGTGGCCGTGCTTCCTCAGGGAGATGGAGACGCTGTCCCTGAGTGTGTGGTAAGGGGTGGGCTTGTCGCCGAGGCGGGCCGGGGGGCAGTGTGGCCGGGCGGGTGGAAAGTCAGCTCTGTCTGCAGCCTGCACTAAGCCATGCCAAGGACCAGGACTTTGGCAGCCACTGATATCCACCCCAAGCCAGCGGCCCTCGGCCTTCCTCAGCGACCCCAACACGCTTCCTCGTGGTGTGGTGATCCCGGCCAGAAAATTATTTCTGCTGCTTCAGAACTGTGGTGTTGTGTTCTGGGTCGTGCTGTGGATTCCGTGTGTTCCCCACGGTCTTAGGTGACCCTCTGAAAGGCTTATTCGACCCCCCAAAGGGGTCATGGCTCAGAAGCTGGGAACCTTTGCCCCAAGCCCAACAAAGGATCCATCCTGCTGTGCATCCGAGCATGTGTGTGCGCGTGCGTGTATGCCTGTGTGTTTGTGCGGCTGTGTGCATGTGTGTGTAAAGCCCAAAGGTTGACACCGTATTATTTGAGACAGGGTCTCCTGCCGAGCCCACAGCCCACTGATCGGGCAGCCTGCAAACCTGGCCTTCCAGGCCCCAGGGCTGGGATCACAGCAAGCGCCACACTCCCAGCTCTTCTGTGCAGCTGGGGATTTGAACTCGGATCTTCATGCTTGTGTGACAAGGTCTTTAACCACTAAGCTGCTGCCCCACCCTGACTGCGTTCTGAGCACTCAGGCCATGTGTCCCTTTGCACGTGGGTTGAGTGTGGAAGTGTGGTGGACTCAGCTCCGGGGAGCACCGACCCTCAGCCTGGGCGTCCACCCTGACGTCTGGTCATTGACCCCGCAGATGGAGACTCCCCGCTGACCCCTGCGGTCGTGGACACCGTGCTGACGGGCATTCCGGGCCCCCGGGGCCCCCCCGGCCCCCCCGGTAAGTGGACTGATCGTCTTTCTTTGGCTTGTCCCGGACATAGACAGGGTAACATGTAGCCTGGCTGGCCTCCGGCTCACTGTGTAGTTTAGGATAGCCCTGACCCCTGTCCTCCGGCCTGCAGCTCCACAACGCCTGTTTACGCCAGGCCGGGACCCAGCCCAGTTACGCTCTCCCTAGCTTCACCCTTAGCCCTGAGCCCAGGTGTGTGTGGAAACCGAAGCCCAGCTAGGCGTTCTGCACTCTCCAGAGGCCTGACGTGAGCCCCGGCCCACCCTGAGACAACCGCACACGTCAACCCCGAATGAGCCCCAGAGCAGGACAGAGGTCTGAGGAGAGGTGTCTGGCTGTCTGTGTCAGTCGCAGCAGTGATGCGCAGGCCAGGGGCAGCCTCGGGCAGGAGAGGACCGGGCCCTGGGGGTGGGATGCAGCTGAGACGTGTGATGGGCGGCAAAGATGAGGTCCCTGCGGGAAGACAGAGGCCAGGGCTTCCCAACCCTCACAGACCTCTGTGTATACACATGCCCACACGCCATGCCCCAAGGGCTCCACAAGTGAACAGACAAGCAGGACACATGGTCGTTACCTTGCCGCTCCTGTCTGGGGGCAGGAGCTAGGGCTCAGGGAGGGGCTGGGTGTGGCTCAGTGGTGGAGCCCCTGCCTAGAGTCCCCCAGTGAGGGGCTGGGGTGTGGCTCAGTGGTCACCTGCCTAGAATCCCCCAGTGAGGGGCTGGGTGTGGCTCAGTGGTCACCTGCCTAGAATCCCCCAGTGAGGGGCTGGGGTGTCAGCACGTAGCCCCCACAAGGACCTGGGTTCCATCCCCACGCTTCAGCAGAGTGGGAGAAGGCAATGATGAGAGACAGATTTAGAAAGGAGAGGATTATATTTGAGGGAGCTGAGGCAGAAGATTCATCGAGTACTGAGGACTTGAGGTGACATATGCCTGCGACACAGGGATAGTTTCTGTGGCCTGGTTTGTCTACTCCTGAGAGGCCACACTGCCACACTCTAGTGGGGGCTCCGTGAGGTTTGGGAAGTGCAAGTCTGTGCAAGGAGATGGGATGAAAGCCTGGTGCAAAGGTATATGTGGGGGAGGAAAAGGCGATGTTGTAGGTGACAATGTTTACTATTGATATCTTTTCTGGTAAAGCTGCTGTTAATCCTAAACAGCTGAATACCCAAATCACCACACAGAGACTGGGTTTATTTAGTTAGCCTAGAACACAATGCTGGGCCATAGTTACTCCCTCCTAAACCTCCAAGCCCTCATAGTTTCCTAACATTTAGATTTCCCACATTGTACTTGCTTTTAGTGATATATTAGGTCCAGTCCATCTCTCCACGTCTTTCCAAGATTTCACCTCCAGCTCTGCACCCAGCTCCCTCCTCCCTTCTCTCTCCTCTGCCACCCACCTTCCTGTCCTCTGGCTCCTCCTTCTCTTCCTGCTTCCTTTCCCTTGCTCAACATGGTGGCTGGTTGCTTTATTTTGGCCTGTTTACACAAAGTTGAGACAGGTGCTACTAAAGTATCACAATGCAGTGTCCTGATTGAAACCAGAGATTGGGGGAGATAAATCAGCATTTGAATGAACAAGGGTAAAGTTCATATAAGTTGGTATAAAAGAACATTATACCAACACTCCTCTTAGCCAGTGATGCTGAAGAGAGGCAGGAAAAGATAACAGGGAGTGTGCTCACCAGTCGGTGGGCTGATGGGAACTTTCCGTAGGCGTGTCCGTGGGCTGAGGACTTGGGAGTATTGGCCTTTCTGTCCTGTTGCAGTGACAAACACCGCAGGCAGAGCAGCTGAGGGAGGACAGGATTTGTCAGGTGGGGACCGTGAGGCTGAGGCTGCGGAACTGCCGGTCCACTCCCAGGTTCCGGCTTGTGCAGCCAGGATCGCCTGCCTGGTGAATGGTACCACCCACTGTGGCTGGGCTGTCCCTCGTCAGCTGACCACCGAGACAGTGCTCTAGGCATGCCCACACACCACTCTGATGTGGGCAGCCCCTCAGCTGGGGCGTCTCCTCTCAGAGCGAGCAGTTAGGGCGATGCGGAACGGGGCTTCAGAGCCTTCAACAGAGTGTTCCACAGATGTGGGTGGACATGGTGAAGGGAGAGTGGATGGTGGCTGTCAGAGGGGCTGGTTCCAAGTTTCCACGTTGGGCGGGGACCTTCTGGATTAGCGCTCTGTTCAGCCCTGGGTCTCAGGATCGGGGTAAGCATGTGGAGAGCACATGGTTGGAAGGAGCTGGATAGCGGTAGGCCGGTGAGACCTGAGCGTGGAGGCCTGGAGAATGAGTCCTTTCCAAAGTCCATTTCCCAAACTTGCGTTTGTTGCCAGCGGGGGAGACCCAGGCAGGGCCGGGTGCTGGGAATGTCCGTTTGTAACCGATGGGGAGCAGTGGGCTTTTCTGGTATTCACCAGTGACTCTACCCACAGGGCCCCCAGGACCACACGGGCCCCCAGGACCTCCAGGAGCACCTGGATCACAGGTGAGGACTCGGCCATTCTAGCACAGCGGGAGTCCCGTGCGCTAGGCTCCCTCTTTGTGGGTGAGCTGACCCTAGAGAGGCTGGGCACTCCTGGACGCATGTAGGTGCTCTCAGCTGACACCAGGACCCCTGTTCTCCCCTGAGAGGAAGCCAGGTGGGGCAGTCCCCAGCTCAGGATTGCTCTGCCCCTTCGGCCTTGTGGAGAGAGGGCCAAGGCTGCGTGCAGGAGAGCAGGGTGGGAGACGAGGTGCTCTTTGTCTTACCTGTGGGCTTCTGTGGAGGCTCCTGCCATAGAGATGGCCCTGACGGAGTTGGGAGTGTATCTTGCTCTTGTGTGCACTGGTAGACGGTCCCTCTGGCTCCCTGTGTGGGGGCAGGAGCTCGGGTCCCCCTTCCTGAAAGGTGGAGGAGTGGTTTGTGAGGACCTGGTATCAGGAGACAGCTGCTTACATAAGCGTATCTCAGAGTCCCTGGGTTTGCCATAAACCCTGGATGCGCACACGTGATACCATCCTCCTGCCTCAATTACTTGTCGGCTTTCCTGCCCAAGCGCTAAGTTACCTGTTTCCCTCCTCTGCACGACACCCACGCCTCACATCCCTTCATTGTAGAGAGGCTGGGCAAAGGCTGATGCTCCGGGGGCGCTGCAGAGTCAGGCCCCAAGTTTGAACTTCTAGCTTCCTCCTCCTCCTCTCCTTTTCCTCCTTCTTCTCTTCCTCCTCCTCCTCCTCCTCATCCTACTTCTCCTCCTCTCCTCCTCCTCATCCTACTCCTACTCCTTCTCCTCCTCTCCTCTTCCTTCTTCTCCTCCTCTCCTCTTCCTCCTTCTCCTCTTTCTCGCCCTTCTCCTTCTTCTCCTCCTCCTTCTCATCCACTTCTCCTCCTCTCCTCTTCCTCCTTCTTCTCTTCCTCCTCATCCTACTTCTCCTCCTCCTTCTCCTCTCTTTCCTTCTTCTTCTCTTCCTCCTCCTCCTCCTCCTTCTCCTCCTCCTGCTCCTACTCTTCCTTCTCATTCCTCTTCCTCCTTCTCTTCTCTTTCTCCTCCTCCTTTTCTTCTCCTTTTCTCCTCTTCCTCCTCCTCTCCTCCTCCTCTTCTTTCTCCTCTTCCTCCTCCTCCTTCTTCTCCTCCTCTTTCTGCTGGAACCCAGCATGGGTGGGTCCAAAGGCAGGAAAGTCCCGCTGACGTTTCTTTTTTCCAGGGTCTGGTGGATGAGCAGGCTGTAGCACAGCCATCTGTAAGTATGAACTGAGCCAATGGGCTGGACACGGGGAAATTGGGAGCCGTGTCTGCATTTAGCCCCATAGAGTCTCCATAGGGAGGGCAGGCTGGGTACAGCCTGAGCTGTCCAAGAGAAAGGGTACTGCCTGGGAAACAGCCTCAGGTTGAGGGTTGTCCTAGTCACAGCTGATGCCTGGGCTAATGTACCGCATGGGCTGGAGTATGTTAATGTGTAGCCTGGGATCATTGACTCAGGGTCTGTGTGACCAAGAAGGTCATGTTGGTTCTCTGAACCTCCCAGCGTCTGACTCAGGCAGCTGGCCTCCGTGAGTTACAGGTCTCAGCTCTGGTCTCCAAGACTAAAGAAGCCACATGTCAGGGTCAGGAGGTGGAGAACGGCTCTCTGCTGAGTGCCTACTGTGCGCTGGTACAGTGGGGTAGGCCCGCTGCGGCCTGTCCAGCCTGTGCTCCCTCATACTGAGCTGGGCGCTGCGGTTCAGAGAAACCAGTCATTTCCCAAGGTCGCACAGCTGAGCTTGGGAGGGTCAGCCTCCACACGCGGCCTGTCCTGCGCCACTGTCTGCTGACAAATGGCGGCAGCGGCTTTGGCAGCACCTCTAGACGTCAGGATAGTTAAACCCCTGCTCCGTACTGATCTTCATCTCCTTCATGGTAGAGATGTCATTAATCACCTTTCAGAGGCGGGTAACAGTGGCACAGAGAGGTTACAGCCGCTCAGAGTCAGAAAACATGTCTGTGCCGTGCCCCGAGCTGGCCTTACCGGCCCCGTTTTAGAGACAGAGCTGATACCTACGTCCCCCAGGTTCCAAGTCTGAGTCCCCGTGTTTCAGAGCGGCCCCTGGGGTGACTCTGTGAACCTCTCTGTGATGGGCTGTGTAGTGACACCCGGGCCTGGGCCTCCCTCCCTTGTCTCAGTCCCAGACCCCCGTCTTCAGTCTCCGCCTGTCCCCAGGGGTGGACAGGTGCAGGCGTACCCAGTATGGTGACCACGAGGCTTGCTTCCTAGGGTGAGCCCGGCGTGAGGGGAGGAGAGGCCAGAGCCGCCGCAGAGGTAACTATGGCAATCAGCGCTGGGAGCCAGGGTGGGGGCGCCCTCAGGAGAGCCTGGTGGAGAAAGATGCTGCCTCTCATCCAAGCTCAAGTCACAAAGAGCAGTTACCACCCTGACTTGGGGGCATGGGCTGGTGGCTGTGGGGTACAGCAGGCGGAGGAAGGGGGCTTCAACCTCAAACCCTAACGAGGGAGGACGGAAACAAGAAAAGGCCGGGCAAGCGGAAGCTGAGGCGGGAGTCTGGAGGCAGGGGGAAGAGAGCCAAGGTGGAAGAGGGCTGGCGTGAGGCTGGGGCTGGGGGTGGGGGACACTTGCCTGGTGTGCATGGAGTTCAAGGTTGACCTCAGCCAGCTCACCTGAGACCTGGGAAGGCAGGGGTGGAGGGGGTGGGTGCAGGACCAAAACACTGACAACAACCGAACAGGCTGGAGCGGAAGGGCCAGCTGAGGGCTTCCTGTCCGTGAGACAGTCTGCAGTCGGAGCTTTAGGAAGTTCTTGCTAAATGAAAGGAAAACCCCAGTGCTCAGGAGACTGCGACAGAAACAGCCTGAGTTCAAGGCCAGCCTGGGGTTCATAATGAGCCCCTGTCTCAAAAACAAACAAACAAGCAAACAAACAAAAATAAATAAAAGCACATGAGGAAGGGAGGGAGAAAGGAAATCATATGAGAGAGAAAGAGTTGGAAAGACAGGAGAAGGGGGAGGGGAGGGGGAGAGAAGGGAGGGAGGACCGCCTGTTGGGGTCTCTGGCTGTTAGACCCTGGGGACTTCTTCACCCCAGCCCTCCGCCGCTAGCCGCTGGACTCTGCACTCAGCAGTGCACACCCTTTGACTCTGCCCCGCCGTGCTCCACAGACAGAGCTGCACCTCTGCCCTGGCAGGGCACTGGGCCGCCCAGGGTGGCAGCCTTGGCCACCTGGTTTGCCGTTCTGTCCCTCAGAAGTCGGTAGCTCACTTTGTGCAGTCAGTACCTCACACGCACGGAGCCTCGCAGGGCGGAGGGGCATGCCTGCCCTGGCCCTCCCGGCACTCTGGGGTCTCCAGTCTGTTTCTGCCTTGGCCCAGCCCCGTCCACAAGGCTTGACCAATGCTCTCGGGTGGACAGTCCAGGCACGCACAGTCGCCCTTCCCACCTTGCAGGCCTCTGAGCTGGGGCTCTGGCCTCTTGGTATTGTCTGGAAGGTGGGCATTCTGTTAGATTTCTATTGCTGTGTGGACACTGAGCAAAGCTTCTCAGGGAGAAGAGGTTCAGTCGGCTGTCAGGCTGAAGTCTGTCAACAGGGAAGCCAAGCTCTCAAGAGGTCTGCATACACCCCAGGCTAGAAACAGGCAATATTTGCAAATCTTTGCTTCCATTTCATGATGGGTTTTCATTCTGATAGCGTTCTCCATTATGGGAAAAGCAAACAAGACAAAAGCCCTCTCACTTGAGGCACGCGGTCTGTCCGCTTTGTTCTTCCGTCATTGCTTCTTAAGTAGAGCATCACAGAAACCGTCGCCTAATCCAAGGTTACAGTTACTGACACCTACATTTTCTTCTAAAGGCTTTATGATCTTGGCCTTTACACTTAGGTCCATGACCTTTTTGAGACCGTCTTTTATGTGGTGGGAAGGGCTCTGCTGAAGCTTGAGCTGTGTCTCGCAAGAGTACATGATGGATCAGGGCTGGAGAGACGGCGCAGCGGTGGCGAAGAGCTCACACTGCTCTCTATCGCTGCAATAAACACGGTGGCCAGAAGCAAGCTGGAGAGGAAAGGGTTAACCCCAGCTCGCAGCAGGTCACAGTCCACTGCCAGGGGAGTCAAGGCAGAGGCTCCAGGCAGGCTCCCCGGGGGCCCCAGCTCTCTAACACACCCCAGCCCACCTGCCCCCTGGCCGGCGCCATCACAGTGGGCTCTGCCCTCCCACAGCAATCGTGAATCGAGAAATGGATTAATTGTAGGCCACAGGCTGGTCTACCACAAACCATCTGATGGAGCATTTTCTCAGCTGAGGCTGTTCTTTCCAGATGAATCCAGCTTGTGTCAAACTGACAAAAACAAAACAACAAAACCCCAACCAACCAAAGAAAACCAAACAAACAAAATCGCCACAGAGCGTGCTGGGAAGGGGTCCTTTGGAAACCACAGCAGGAGAGAAAACTTAGGCTTGAGCCTATCAAGTCTAGAGTAGAAGAAGCCCAGGGTGAATTGTTTGGTGTGCAGGCCTGCTGCATAGCCAGGGCTTGGCTCTGACGTCTGCCTCTGGGGAGAGGCCTGCTAAGGGTGCCAGGCCGGCTGAGGGTGCCCAGGCCGGCTGAGGGGTGCCCAGGCTGGCTGAGGGTGCCCGGGTTGGCTGAGGGTGTCCAGGCCTGCTGAGGGGTGCCCAGGCCGGCTGAGGGGTGCCCAGGCCGGCTGAGGGGCGCCCGGGCCGGCTGAGGGGCGCCCGGGCCGGCTGAGGGGTGCCCGGGCCGGCTGAGGGTGCCCAGCTGCCTGCCCGCCTGTGCTCCGCCCCAGCCTGAACGTGGTCTTCCCTGCACCAGGGCGAGGGCGTGCAGCAGCTCCGAGAGGCCCTGAAGATCCTGGCGGAGAGGGTCCTCATCCTAGAGCACATGATTGGCGTGCATGGTGAGTAGCAACCAGCCCTCGCCGTCTCCTGACCTGCCATGGGGTCTGCTAAAGCCGCGTGAGCCCCTGCTTCAGGGACCCCGCCCCCACTAACCGTCCGGGTTCTGTCCCTCCCCCGCCTCACGGGTCGGGCAGCCACACCCCGCATGCCAGGCTGCCTCCTGTTCGCCCTCCGCCTGCTGGCCACTTCCACAGCAGGATGGGCGAAGCCGTCCTGAGACCTTCCTGAGCGCCCTCCTTGTCCTCATGGCTTTCCCTGTGCCTTCCTCCTACTCTGGGACCCCGTGCACAAACGGGGGGGGGGCGTGCGACTCTGGGGTCTGGGGCTCAGGCCACTTGATACTGGTTAGAGAAGGGTGGGCAGACAGATGCACAGATGCACCGGAGGGACGGACAAGGGGAGGGCGACTGGGAGAACGGACGAATGGCAGGATGAGTAGGAGGAAGAACGGGACGAACAGATGAACCGGTGGGGAAGTTAGTGAATGGCAGGGTGGGTGGGTGGTGGCGTGACTGAATGGGTGGAGGAGCGGGAAGATGGATGAGTGTGGACCTCGAATGGGAATGAGTGTGAATGACTGAATGCCTCTGAAGGAACGAGGGACGGGCCTGTCTGCCGCCTCTGGCTGGGAACGGAGGCCCTGGGTGCAGAGGCCCTGAGCAGCCCTTCGCCCTCCTTTCAGATGCGCTGGCCTCCCCCGACGACGGGGCCTCGGGGCAGCATGCGGCCCTGAGAGCCAACCTCGAGATGAAGCGGGGTGGGCCTCAGCCCGGAGTCCTGGAGGCCCTGCTGGGCCCTGACCCTGTGCAGAAGAGGGCAGACCAGGCTGCCGACCGGAAGTGAGCGACCCTCTCTCAGAGCAAGCCCCGTGGACAGCGGCATCCTGAGGGACGAACCAATCAGAACCGCCAAGTGGGCGATTCTGAAGGACCCTGGGGGCCTGGGCCCTCGGGGAGAGGTTGTGCCTCCAAGGGGCAAGGCCCAGCGCTGACTAGCATCCCAAAGGGCCGTTCTCCCCCCCAACCCCTCCCCCCACCCCCGCCTCCTGCCTTCACCACCCAGGCTGGGAGAATGATGGAAGTGGCCAGCTCAGGTGCTTTCCCTGTTGTCTCATTTAACCGTGAAAAGGTGCTTGTTGATCCCCACTTAGCCTGGCACTGGACCCCGGGCCAGGGGCGGGGCGGGTTTGCCCCAGGCCTGGCTGTTACTGGCCACGATGTACGACTCTTCTAGTGTCCCTCTCCTTAAGGTGTGGCCCAGAGGACCCCAAGGTGCCCGGGCTGCTGGGAGGCGGGGCGCCTGGAAGGACCCCTCGTGGGACAAGGGGGCTGGGAGGGAGGGTCTCAGCAGAGAGCCTGGGATCTGGTTGTCTCTGAGCCCTCACCTGCCCCGATGGAGGAGGAGGAGCATTTGGTGAGACCGTCAGTCTGTCAGTCTGTTATGGAAACCTCTAGGCCCTCTGCTGTGATGGGATGACCCGGGTCCTCCACCGCCGGGGCCGTGGGTCCCGGCAGGTCCCCGCCGGCTGGTCCCAGTCCTGAGCCCTCCCCCGACGGTGCTGGGACTGTCGTGACCCTGGCGTCCTCCCACCCGGCCAGCCACGCAGAGAAAAGAAGGGCTTAGTGCCGCCGGGACTGTCCAGGCCTGCTGGGAGTGGCCGACCCCAGCGCCCGGGGCTTGTGTAGCCTGGGGCCTGGCCCTGCGGGGGCTGCGGGTCATCCTGGCAGTCTCCACTGAGGCTGGTTGAGCCCCGAGATGTGATTTCCAATAAAGGTCCTCTCCCCACGTGGTCCTTCGGAGGCTCTGCTGTGGGGGTGGGGCCGCTCCCAGTAAGCCAGGCCAAAGAGCCGGCCTCGCGGCCGTAAGGTCTGTGAGGCAGGGGAGCCCAAGAAAGAGGGAGGTTCCCCGACATGGCTGTGACCCCGAGCGGTCAGGGCGGCTGGGCGGGCCAGAGCGCCCCCACGCCTGTGACCTGAGGGCAAGCCGCGGCCCCTGACCGACGAGACTGGACCCCACGGTTTGCCCTCTGGCCTCCAGATGTGCACCACTGCACACAGTGACAAGCACAGCTCTATGTTAAGATGGCTCCGCAGGTACGGCGGCCCCCACCTTTGCAAGAGGACCCAGATTCCACCTGCGCCTGTTAGGCCGCCCCAGCCATCGGCGGGGTCCGTGCCCCCTCTGGCCTCTGCAGTCACCCACACACGTGCACACACCCCCGCACACACCCCCGCCCACCCCCCGGGGGGCCCGGGCCTGCGCTGTGAGCGCCCCTCTCTCACATACTGCTTTGTGGAGAATTTCTCGAGATCTCAATTAATTGATTCCCCCGGGGAGATCTACTTCCAACGGTATTAATAAATTCTAACGCCGCCTATAACTTTCAATTGCCAGTTAATTAACTTGCAATTGGCTCGTTGTAAAAGGCAAATTAAATACCTTTTCAGGCGGGGGCTGGTGGAGCGGATGAGCGGGTCGCGTGGGCCGAGGCAGACACCCGGGCCACGCGCTGAGGGGTGACAGCGTGTGCAGGGCCCCAGCACCGCAGGACGGTGATGGGGTCCCCTCCAGGGCTCCCAGCCTCGGGGACCGCGTGGCTGTCTTCTCTGCAGCTGACTGGGTCCCAGTTGTTTGGTTTGTTTGAGGCAGACTCAGTATGTAGCCCAGGCTGGCCTCAGCCTTCCAGTCCTCTGTCTCCCCGTTGCTGGGACTACAGGCCTGTGTCCTCACCACAGGCCCATTCCCCCTGACAGCTGCAGGGACGGGCCTGGGCTTGGGGCTCCTGGCTCTGTGCCCAGCTCCGGAGGCTCCCTCGGTGCCCACAACGGGCAAACCACGCGCGGTGGCGCACACCTACACGCCAGCCGGGCGGAGGCAGGAGGATGGAGGTGGAAGGTCATCCTCAGCTACTGTCCAGCTCTAGCCAAGCTCAGAGCTGGCCGAGGAAGAGCCACAGCAGGGGCCACCGGCCTGGGGGGAAGGTTATGAGGTGACACTGAGGGACACTCCAGACTGAGGGTCACCTGTGGAGCTCTTGGGAGATGGCGGCCTCACTGTCCTCCTCTGCTGACGCAAGGCTCTCCCGGCCACATAGCGATGACGTCTGTCTGTCTGTCCGAGCACCTCCCACCTGTCACGTCTGATGAGTACATATGTCGCTGGAGCTCGTGAGCCGTTCTGATCCCCGGAGACAGGGAGGGATAGCGCCAGTCCGGAAGGTCCTTAGGCACAGAAGCGGCTGCCGAGAGACCAGGGACAAGGGAGCTGCTGGGAGGATCAGGCAGGCGGGTCGAGGGACTCCTGTAAGGAGCCAGGACCTACGGGGACCCTCAGGACAGGGCCGGGCGTGTCAGAGCCGCACACACTGCTCCTGTCTCCTCGGGTGGCCTGTCCAAACCCTGTCTCGGTCTGTCTCGGTCTGTCTCGGCCTGTCTCGGCCTGTCTTGGCCTGTCTCGGCCTGTCTCACCTCTCAGCCTCTCGGCCTCACTCACTGGTGACTGCAACTTCTCCCTGCCTTGACCTCCTGTCCTACCGCCACTCGGCTGATGGTTGACATCTTGTTTCAGGAGTCTGGGGCGGACGCTCCAGCTCCGAGAGCCACCGACAGGCTCTCGCTGAGTTAACCAGACGGCTGGCAGGAGCGGGAGGTGCGAAACCTGACGAAATCCTCGCTGCTTCTCCAGCGTGGCCGCCCGTTTGGGGTGACCTGGGTGAGCCTCTGCTGTGCCTGGAGTCAAAGTGACTGTAGGCTTGGAACGAGCCATCTCAGCGGGCACAGAGGCCACCCCGTGACCCCAGCATGGGGGGCGGATCTCTGTGAGCTCCAGGCCAGCCTGGTCTACAGAGGGCGCCAGGACAGCCAGGGCCACACAGAGAGGCCTGTCTGGGAGGTGGGAAGGAGCAGTCTGGGGCTCTGGAGGGGCCTGTGTGGACCCTGATGGGCTTCCGTGGCTCCCAGCCTGCAGTCTTGAGGCCAGTGAGCTGGGCCAGGTATCACAGTTTTAAACACCCCGGGAGTGACCGGCAGGTCTGTGTGTACAAGAAGCCGTGGTGGCTAGTTGTCAACCTGCCTGGTTCCAGAGCGGCTGGGAGAGCTCCGCCGCTGTGGGAGCCGTGTGCGTGTGTGCGTGTGTGTGTGCATGTGTGTGCGTGTGCGTATGTGTGTGTGTGTGTGTGAGTGTGTGTATGTGTGTATATGTGTGTGTGCGTGTGCGTGCATGTGTGTGCACGTGTGTGCATGTGTGTGAGTGTGTGTGTGCGCATGTGTGTGTGTGTGCGTGTGTGTGTGTGCGCGTGCGTGTGTGCGTTTGTGTGTATGCATGTGTGTGTGTGTGCATGTGTGTGAGTGTGTGTGTGCATGTGTGTGAGTGTGTGTGTGTGCGCGCGTGCGTGTGCGTGTGTGTGTGTGTCCGGACCCTGCTAATTCCTGGCTGTGTAGGAGTGGAGAAGAGGGCGAGGAGCCGCGGTCACCCCTCGGCTCCCTGACAGCGGCTGTGCTGTGAGCTGCGGCTCCCTGAGCCGTGAGCTGCGGCTTCCTGCAGCGGCTGTGCCGTGAACTGCGGCTTCCTGCAGCGGCTGAGCCGTGAACTGCGGCTTCCTGCAGCGGCTGAGCCGTGAACTGTGGCTTCCTGCAGCGGCTGTGCCGTGAGCTGCGGCTCCCTGACAGCGGCTGTGCCGTGAACTGCGGCTTCCTGCAGCGGCTGTGCCGTGAGCTGCGGCTTCCTGCAGCGGCTGAGCCGTGAACTGCGGCTTCCTGCAGTGGCTGTGCCGTGAGCTGCGGCTTCCTGCAGCGGCTGTGCCGTGAGCTGCGGCTCCCTGAGCCGTGAGCTGCGGCTCCCTGACAGCGGCTGTGCCGTGAGCTGCAATCAGCTTTTCTTCTTTGCGTATTTTATCGTAGAAGCGGGCAAGGAAGTGCGAGTCGCTGAGCCGAGGACCGGGAACGCTCGCTCGGGAGGAAGGTGGCCAGGCCAGGCTTCTTTGCTGACCACCCTGCGGCTGCCCTTCAGCAGAGGCGCTTTCTGGCTCCTCCCGCAGTGCTCTCCGCCGGGCCCCGGGAGCATCTCGAGCTACAGTGGCCAACAGACCACAGGCCACAGGACTGAACAAACAGGTTCACAGTTCCAGGTGAAAAGCCAAGACCGACAGGTGTGAACTCTCCCTGACTCGTAGCCGCTTTCCCTCGCTGCGTGCTCTCGTGTGTAACACAAACACCGCCAACCGCAGCTGGGAACTATCAAAGTAACGGCAGCGCCTGAGCCGCTGAGTGAAGCGTGAGTTTCGGGTCTCTCCCAGGAGCAGGAGTGGGGTAGGGGCGGATGACACACGTGGGTGATGCACGGCCGCGGAGCCCGCGCTGCGACTTTCAGACAGCCTGGCAGGCTGGAGGGTTTTCCTTCCCGCAGCCCTTCCTCCGTGCATAACCGTCAGGGTAGGGATGAAGCTTAAGGATCTGATAAACTTCAGGGACCTCCTGAGACGCGAGTTGCTTCCTTCCTGGATCTTGGCCCCCCTCCCCCCATTATAGTGGAATATTTCAAGTCACAGGAAAAGATGTCATACAGTGTATGTCCATATTAGAACACTAATCCCTTCCTCAGGACCAACCCCTCCAAAGTCCTCCTCACCTTTTCTCCTTCTTGGCTGCCTCCCTTCTCCTTCCTGCAAACATTTGCCAGCCGTGCAGGAGAGTCAGACTTCGCTCGTGACTGTCCTCACTGCTGTGGCAAAAACTCCCGACAAAGTGTCGTAAGGAAGAGAGGGTTCAGTGCGGGACACAGTGGGAGGGAAGCGCCTGTCAGTGGGGAGGCGTGGGTGAGGGCAGGCCGAGGGCAGGCCGCTGCTGCTCAGCTCGCTGTCTCCTGTCTACCCCGGACGGTGAAATGTGCTCGGACGCTGGGTGAGTCTCCCTCCTCATTCACCCCGTCGAGAAAAGCCCTTACCTTTCCATGGAGAGTGTAGATCACTGAGACTCCAGACCAGCCGTCATAGCTGGGTGCGGTGGCGCCGCCTGTGACCCCAGCCCGGGGAGGCGGAGG